CGGGCCTCATACAATATTCTCTTTGACCCCGGTCGTGATACTCTAAATCCAGCAGCCTCTAGTACTTTCGTGACATGCGCAACGCGCACATATCCGTCAGACTTATGTATACGAGGAGGATGTGTGCCTCTCGCTAGGATCAAACGGATGTCGAGAGACAGAGAGCACGGAAGTTTTACTAAGGAAAACAAGAGGCGACGGTACTCCTTTGTTGGGCGGAACACTTAGATTTGATGGGTAATTTACATGCCCCGACATCACGGAAGGTCCGGAAAGACGCCCGCCTTCCCGGATCAATAATAACGATTAATTGCGATTTATCGGCGTTATCGCCCCGTTGTTGGACGATTCATAAAGCGATTCTCGCGATAGGCGAGCGTGCAGCTGCCGCGAAACTTGCATTAAGTGTATCGATTCGTTTGATTTACCGGCACAGACACGAGATAGAAACAAGAGTATTGAATACGCACACACACGCGCCCCCCCCATCGCTGCGAAATTAAAAAATACGCTCTACGAATGATTATGAGCGACGATTATTGCTTCTGGAATTTATACGCGAGCGAAGCTTCCTCCCAGGAATTTTGCATATCGATATGATCGCATGGATATTATGCTACCATTGTCGAGTGCAACCGTTTTTTTGTATTGGATGGCGTTTCTATTTTCATCAATCAACGGTCCGCATCACAAATGGATATGCAAAAACTGCAACTATATCGCAAAGCAATCGATGCTAATTAACGAGCGATGCTGTTGCTGGCCTGTCGCGTTACTGTCATTACACTGCAGTTTTCTGCAGGAGACTTTGTGGCACGCATCAGCTATAGAAGCCGAGTACAACAATTCGCATAAGACTGTGTCGCAAAAGCAAATTACTATGCGATAAAGTAAATCATTAAGTGCATATACTATGCATTACATTAAGATAAAAATTATCTTTTTGTTATAAAATAAAATTTATAACCGCTTTGTATAAGTTATATTCATGTCGTTAATCGTTAAAAATTTATATATATTACAATCGTATAAAACATAGTTTAAATTATATTTTTAAACTATTTTGATGTTTAAATTAAAAAGTTACGCGCTTATAACAATTATAAAATTTTAAATTGCTTTATAATTGTATGTGTGGATCAATATATTTAAATTATATCAACCAGCAATTGTTTGGTGAATCTATGTCATGAATCAACGAGGCACATGGAAACGTTTGAAAACGCAAAAGAGCATTTGTCATAAAGTGATGCCTCCATTTGATTACACAGCCGATATGTCGGGCAATCTGTCAAGAAACGGGCAAAGTGAGAATGATTTGACACATAAAATGGATTTGCGAATCGTGCTTCTTATTTGGAATATTTCGTTGGAAACGATTTTTGCCGCAACATAGTGTATATATACAACCTCCTTTCTCTTTTGATCTTCCTTTTTATCCTCTTTACTTTTTTCTTTTCTACATAATATAACAAAATATTGCCAAATATTTTCTCAGGCACAGAAAATAGCATATTCTCATTTTTTTGATATATATATTAAACACTATCGGTGTAATTTATTTAATCTAATTTAAAAATCTTAATAAAGAAATACTTAAAAATTATAATAAATTTTAAAAAACTTATTCTATTTCAGTTTTTATTAAATTTAATATAAACAAATTTTATTTGTAATGTAACTGCTGGATAATTAATATAATTAATTAAAAGATTATTACAAATGATTCAATTTCATTATGCTTTTGTAGAGAAAAGAATGACTTTAGATTTATTAAAATATTTCCGGCCAAAAAAACAAACATCCAATCGATTAAAAAAAAACATTCTGTACATAAAATTGTAAATAATTTTCTTTCTCTTCTACTCTCAAATGTGATGAATGAGATAGAAAATTGCGATATAACACATTGGAAAAATTGTAATGGCTTTCCGTGAGAGTACCTTTTATTTGGGTGGATATGCGGCGATGAGATTGGTACTCGTTCGTACTGTGAAGAATGGATCAAGAGGAAAGAAAGAGGTGGCATACTGACGATAACGAGGAAAGGCTCGTTGAGCACGTCGCTCTATTCCAATTATGTAAAAACAATCCCGTAAATCTGAGTTTGCCGGCAATCGCCGAACAAGTCGATGCGCTCGGGAAAACGATAAAATTCGCTCAAACAATTTAACCGCTGCAATTTCACTCTTAATCTTACAAATTCAACTACTTTTGGTTTATACAAAGTGTCCCTTTAATGATGGATTTTTTAGCTGACTTGGAATTGAATTTTTCTTAGCAGAAATTTCAAAAGGAATCATCATTTATCAGAACTTTTCAAACTTTTCCATCTTTACATTCTTATGACTAACAATAAATCTTCATTTAAAATTCTGTAGAAATAAAGTAAAGTTTATCTAAGCAAAAAATATAGTTTTATTGTTCATTTTTTTTCAATCGCTGTGACTAAAAAATTATTGATGCTTCGATATTTTCCCTAAGAAAAGATTGACTTTATATTAGCGATTAAAATAATATCTTGTGTGATTTCAGAAAACCATTTTTACCGATAGTAAAAAGAGTAACGTAATATTGATAACATATTGCACTCATAGATAATTCTAATAATAATTGTAATATAAAGATCAACTATTGCCATATATTGAAATAAAGTTACAGTAAAACATGATTTTGTACGTTCTTAGAATTCAGAATTTTCAAAGTTGCGAGCTGAATTTGGTATTTCTAGCGTTAACTCGCAGAAAAAACGCCGTTAGGACATTAAAAATTATGTCACGTCGCGACGATGGCCTTATGGGACGGGAAAAAGAAGGTACCAAAAGAGAAAAGCGAGAAACAAAAAGTAGGAAACGTTCAAAGGATTTCCATTTGGCCGTTGAAAGGATTCGGCGCCCACCTGTGCATCCCTGAGGTCGTTAAGTACGACCTCGGACTATAGGGAAGGCCGAGACAATAAGCGAAATTCACCTGAAAAGTGCTCCCTCGAGCTCGCTGTAAATAAAGAAACTGTGTCAGTAAAACAGAAGTAGCGTTTGATAATAAGTAAAAGAGAGTTTTATCGACTATAAAGCGACTCTGATACTCGTCCTGTAAATTGAATACTGTACATTATGTATGTACGCGGATATTCTGTTTTTGTATCAACTTCATATGGTAATAACATGTTTCACAGAAATGCGACGTGGACATTCAATTATACACATCTCATGTGTTTTTAATTAACTATTATTTCAATTCCTTAATCATTGATTTAATACAAATTGCATGGTAAAATTTGTGTTTCTTATGTTTTTACATTTCTTTTTTTTTTCAATAAAATCAAATTATTCTGGAACGGGTGGACATAAAACGCAATTTTTACAAAATGTAACTCTTATCTGTCCGTTTTAGCTCGAGACAAATTATATGGCGACGTGACCCAAATTATATGGCTGAGATTACCCTCAGGACGAAAAAATAATAATATTTTTTTTCTTAGCTACATTGTATATGTGTGTGAATCTCAAATGAACAGTTAATATATGCAAGGTGTATCACTTTAATCCTTCCATATAATTATCTCTCAGAAAAACTAAGTTAAAATAAAATAAAATGTTTACTTTACAAGAATATATATTAAAACGTTTAATTGCATATTTTACCTCATAATATAATTTATAATTTTTAAAATATTGATCGTTATTTTATAGGATATGTGCAATTAAAAAATCTTTATTATTTTCTCTCACTTTAATAATACTAATAGTATATTTGGATAATTGATGTCTGATCTGAGATAATTTCGACTATGTTGCATTTTACAACGAAACGTATACGACCCACGTTACAACGTCTGACATTATGGAACGAGTGGCACATAACGATGTGGTCAAATATTCTGTGTTTACGGAAGACAAGCATCGTTATCATCATGTATAATTGGGAACTGTGTGCGGTTCGAGATTCGAAAACCCTGCAACTCGACGTAATCGGTTGTGTTATGCGAATCTATCCGACGCGCTGACGATTCACCAGCCAATTATCGCGATCCCTAATTAACGATAGCGTGGACAAGTATCGAAATGAGAGAAACGCATTGAAGCTAAGCGTTGCAAATCCAGAAAACGCGGTTGCGCGGAACGCAAAAGCGTCACGCATATAGCTCGTATGTAACTTATGCTTCCTTATTACTCAGATATCAATCATTTTTATCAGTGGTATTTATCCTAACACTATTGTATTATGACGCTGCGCGTGTATACGACCCACGTTACAACGTCTGACATTATGGAACGAGTGGCACATAACGATGTGGTCAAATATTCTGTGTTTACGGAAGACAAGCATCGTTATCATCATGTATAATTGGGAACTGTGTGCGGTTCGAGATTCGAAAACCCTGCAACTCGACGTAATCGGTTGTGTTATGCGAATCTATCCGACGCGCTGACGATTCACCAGCCAATTATCGCGATCCCTAATTAACGATAGCGTGGACAAGTATCGAAATGAGAGAAACGCATTGAAGCTAAGCGTTGCAAATCTAGAAAACGCGGTTGCGCGGAACGCAAAAGCGTTACGCATATAGCTCGTATGTAACTTATGCTTCCTTATTATTCAGATATCAATCATTTTTATCAGTGGTATTTATTGTAACACTATTGTATTATGACGCTGCGCGTGATTTCATTACATGTGCATTTTTTCTCTTTCTTTCTCTTCCTCTTTCTGACAATGATAAATCACCTTGATTGATTGAGAATTCGAGTACGAAGACTTTAAATTCGTTTAAAAAAGTTCTTTTATGTTATTGAGAGGAAAAATTCTCGGCTTAGAATCAGAATAATTATTGAATAATTATTTAAAAAAAAAGAAGAAGAAATTTAAGATTCAAATTAAACTGTGAGATTTAATGAATCACTTTACTTTGACGGAACTGCATCATTAATTAATTCTGACAGCTGCAATTTCCGGAATGGGGCAACACCGGTTTACCAGGGTTTTTTTTTTTTTTTTAGGAAACAGCGACCAGAAGTGTCCTATCCAGATATGGATAATGAAAATGGATCGCCACGCGTTGCGGGTTTCCCGCAGAAGTGGTGAAAAGGCGGGGATGTGCAAACGTGAGAAATCCGGTAAATCCGCCAACAGAGTCTTGTTAATTGAACGCTTAAGCGACCCATCGTACCGCGTGCAGCTGGTCAAAATCGATCCTAGGACACGCGAATTGGAGTGATCGCGTTCATTTCGTTCTGATTCCTAGCGACCGGATCCGCGCGACTCTCACGTTCGTCGTGTCTCCTCCAGGCTGGTCCACATACATGTATATATATATGTATATAGACCGGTATAGATCGAACTAATCCCGGAACTGGTTACGGGCAACCAAAACGTGCCGCAGCACAGGATCGGTGAGGTTTTCGCGTTTTCTTGAACGATTTCTTGTTCTGTGCGCGACGTCCATAACCCCGGAGCCATGAAAAATGTCTCCGAATTGTAACGGTCTCGGAACGTGCGCATTGGAAAGCTGTAGATATACTTTTGTACCTGAGAATGTATAGTTCTGCTTGCTCGCCTTATACGGCGAGATAGTTGCTGCCCAGAAATTTTTTCAGATAAAAATCAATAAATACGACAACGCGGGATTTAATCATTTCAAAGAGAAGTTTATAGAAAATAAAAATGTATATCTGCAGATATTTAAGATATTAAAAACTGCGTCTCTTGTTAAATTATATCTATTGCAGTCTTGATAATATTGTTTTAAATTTTTGAACAAAAAATTTTATTTAAGAGCGGAAAAAAATTAGAGTCCGCAAAAATAGTTTCCAAAACCGACATATCCATAGAAATATTGATGCAAGTTATAATAAAAAATATAAAGAGACAAATTAAACAAATTTGGAAATCTTGTATATTCTTCCTTTATTATATGAAATATAATGCAGAATATTTCATTCATATATTTACAAATCTTGACTAATAAGTATGTTTTCATAAGCAAAATGAATACTCTTAAGTAGAAAATACTCTAATATATAAAAAGTTAATTTTGCTATATTAAAGTTGAGTTTAAACATCACAATTAAAAAATCAATTTATTTGAAAATGACAAATATATCGAATATTCTATTCATTAAGCTTTATCGATTAATTCCGCCGACAATGGTTTACGCGAGCGGGTTGATTATGGCAAAACGCGATTGAAATTTCGCATAATATCTCGAGGTATATAATCGACGGTCCGGCATAATGACATCTCTATTAATCGGATGCGGCGCATCTCCTGAGTATTTGCTCAGTGGCGGAGAACCGAAATTCTCAGATAATCTTAAGGATAGGACTTGGAAGTTTCGCCCGCGCATAGAAATCTTGCGAGAGCGAACGTAACCAGAATCCGGCCTCCATCTCGTGGCTTATGCCGTGACAAATGGCAAGGTTCGTAGATAATAGGTAGTGCCCCCGGATTCGTATCTCGGCGACGATCGATCGGTTTCAATTCGAATCCTCGCTGCGGAAAGACCCTGTCTTCTCCGGCCCTTATCGGCAAATGGAATGTGTATATATATATATATGTGTATACTGTCTATACATAAATACGACAAACACATTTACTGAAATACCATTGCGTGTGTGTGCCTGAATGTAGGTATATTCGAAAATACCAGATTGGAGAGGAATGTCTTGGGAAGAATTTATTTCTCGCTCCCACTGTTGCGCGAAAATAACGGGCTTGTGCGATACATTATAGAAATTCGAGACTTAGGGACGCTCGCCTCGATTAATTTTTTTTCTTCGGAATTTTAGGAACCGGCATTCAGTGCAACAAACATATCCGATAGAGGTGAGAAAAAGAAAATAAAGAAAACAATTCTAGCAAAATATTGAAAAAAACATTTTTACACTGTTTTTATCATTTTTAAATATATAATAATTATTATGTAATTCTTTCGATATATGGCAAAAAACATAGGATCTTCCATTAATCTATTGATTTATATTTTATATTAATAAAAAAACTGTGTTAAAAGAAGTTTTATTATTTTATATGTTATATACACACATTTTTATTATATTATATATACACGAAAATAGTGTAAAGTAAACGCTGGATGTTTTTAAAAAATTTCTGGATATTTATCAATTGACCGATTGAACGACCGGATTAATGTTAAAAGACTGCTAAGAGAAAAATGTATGCCTGTTATTTAAGGCTGATTTGTTTGCAAAACCAATCGCAAATAAACCAATCGGTTTATTCTCTGTGGATACTAAATCGAACAGGATAAGCTCTGTTTCTGGCGACCCACATTATACTTCGTTATTGCTTCACTGTAGTTTAAGCCGAAATTTGTATTGACCGTTAAGCGGGTATTACGAGAGTAGCTTATCGTTTAGCTGTATTTAACGAAACGACCAGCGAAACTAGACTATGTCTGGTATGAATCGACGAAGGATCCGGTCGTTGTAAAGAGCTTCCACATTCAGTTATTAGACCGTAACATCCGGCGACTTAAGTGCCTCGTACAGCATAATTCACTTCTCGGAAGCTTGGATTCTCCCAGAGGTGAAATTTCTCTGTGCGTTTTCTTTTATTGTCTCCGCTAGCACCTATTACCTCTCAGAATTTCGCTGATGCGACATATCGTTTCTCCTATGGATTCCCCGGCGAATTTCATACATGACGAGCGTAATTACGCGAGCTAACCCAAAATAATCCGCCGGGCGAACGCAATTCCGTGCTAATATTAGGGCAAACAAAAAAATAAAAAAGGCTTTATTGTTTTTTTGGACAGGTTGCTGGCAATACTGACTTTTTTATGATTTATCATAATTTCAAAATGTTTTTCTGTATTTAGGATGGTAGTTTATCGTTTATTTTCTTTTATTGTGATTTTATGTCAATTTAAAATGAATAGTATTGCTTATAGTATTTTTTTATTAATGCATTTGTTAATGTAATATAATGCTTTAAGTTACGTAATTTAAATTACAAGTGGCGTCTACACCAAAATTGCTTTATCACGACGCCAAGCTTAGTCTAGATTTCTTGTCTTTTGAAAATGAGAAGTGACGTTCTTAATTGAACGTCGAGGGGAAGGATTATTCCTTTAGGATAGAAACATTGATGTAAAGAGAATCCTATAATAAATTAAACGGGTATCAAATCGAAAAAAATGGCACAAACAATCTCGAGACAAGTATAACAGACATTAATATATTGGGTTGAACAGAAAGTTTGTGCCGTTTTTTCGGTCTTCATCTCTTAGTAAAAAACGTAATCTTGTCTTTTGAAAATGAGAAGTGACGTTCTTAATTGAACGTCGAGGGGAAGGATTATTCCTTTAGGATAGAAACATTGATGTAAAGAGAATCCTATAATAAATTAAACGGGTATCAAATCGAAAAAATGGCACAAACAATCTCGAGACAAGCATAACAGACATTAATATATTGGGTTGAACGGAAAGTTCGTGCCGTTTTTTTGGTCTTTATATCTTAGTAAAAAACGTAACGAACTTTCCGTTCAACCCAATAGTTTGTTCCTAGGTTTTCGAATAACCGTCAATAGCCGAAAAAACACTTTTCGGTACATTTGAAATTGGTTATCTGGTTTATTATTTCAAAACCTATGAAGCGAACTACAATCACTTTGATCTCATTTGAAAGATAATTTAATTCCGAA